TGCCAGAAGCAAACATAACATCTATTCTCACTGGCTTATACAACACCTATAATTGACAGCAACCAATTAGAACCTTCTAATCAACATCTCTACTCCGCCGCTGGCACCACACAACAGTTCTGACAACAGACTACCCACTCTTCAGAAGAGCTACAAGAAGAGGTCATAAAAGCTAAAAAACTGTACAGAAGTCTTTGTTTACTTGTTTATTGTTGTTCATGTTTCATATCCCTTCACATACAACTGCACAATCACAGAAATGTGACCATATGTGATCTTGTTTCTTCGAAGTCAAGTCCAGTACATTGAGATTCCCTTTCTTCTTTGCATGTCCCACTCTATATTCTGTTTATGTTCTGCTCCCACACCCTCTTGTTCAGATCTTTTGTTTTCGTAAGTTTGAGCAACTACTAGCATTTTTTTCTTTAAATATGACATAGGTGATGACCACTTTGGGATAATCACTTTTGTAAAGCCTGTTTGTGGTTGTTTGTTTTAGTTTTTTAATTATTTTTTGGGTTTGGTTTGGTGGGTATTTTTGTTGTTTGGTTGTTGGAGTTTGTTTTGGGAGGCAGGGTTTGGGTGTTTTGGTTTGTTATTTTTTTAATAAACAAGCCATTATTACAAACTACTTCATCAAACTGGACTTAAAGGGCTTGCTTTCAACACTCAGGAGACAAGTCTCCTCCCACATCCTAAAAGATACCCATGCACAGATTTTTTGGGGGAGCAAGGTAAACCATTACAGATATCCAGAAACCACATTTGTTAACAATGTATACCATATATCACTGTCTCTGCTGACAGCTATCATGCACTACAAAGCTCCTAGTTATTACTGAGATATTGTTACGCTCCACCACTTCAATCTTACCCCAAAATACTGGTCGACAAGATTTGAAAGATATACAGCATGCCTAAACTATCCAATAATGAACAATTTAAATCTTTTGCAGAGACAGGACATAAATCAATCACTTTTTCATTGAAAATGAAGTTGACAATACATCCATTGGATGGCAAAATTTCCTCTTTAGAAGCACTCAGACCTTGTGTCTGCAAGGTCAAGCACATTGAGAAAGATCTATTGGACCATGGGTACTGATGATGTCAAAGTGGTAAAATTGAAACAAGTGTCCTGTGGCCTATGTCTCTTTCTCCCTTCATGAGAAGGAATTTCTATTGCCAGAGATTCTTTTTTAACCTTGTCCCCCCTCTCAAGTTCACTTACATCTTTGTCAAGGCTATAAATGCTGGATCGAGTGTAAAATTAGGAGCAGCATCTTGACTTCTAGTTTTGGGTTCTGTGATAGCCATATTGAAATGCCTCCATTATTATAATTAATTAGTCTCAACAAAAATATACAAGATAGGACAGCTACAGCTTCTGGCAAAATCTGTCTTGCTTTGATACAGATGAGAAGAATGTCCACTTTGTGAATGCACACGTAGATGAGGGAGACCATCATCATTAGATCTGCTGCAGTTTTTAGTGAATACCTGCCACGATTATGCCATAAAGGGCAGCACACAGAATATTAACACACCTATGCCCAAGCCAAAAAAGAACATCTTTAATGGGTTCACATACTTTCTTATCTGTCATCCAAAGTCGACAGCTTGCCTGACAAAGGCCATGGGTGGTTAAGCAGGGGCCACAAAGTGTGAAATTTTCTTTGCTGGGAAGCTGAATTTGATGATTTGGAAACAAAGGGTGACCTCATGACAGAAACAAGAAAAAACCCCACCCATTCAGGATTCAATCTCTTCCCTACAAAGTAACAGTCTGAAATGGAATAATATCAGGAATGAGCTCCCCTAAAGCAACAGAAGTTCAGCTGACCCTAAGGCCACAAGGCACTGGCCTCAAAAGCAGCTCCCAGGATGTATTCAAATCCAACTCTGCAACCACCAGCTGACTCTGCAGCTGTTCCAAAAGTTATTACAAGAGAGCGGCTCCAGCACTGATACTCTCTACACATGAAAATTACTACTGAAATAAATTGGAAAACAGAGAAAACATAACAGATGATGTTCACAACATACAGGAGACCTACAAAATGCAATACAGTTCAGAAAGTTCGTATTAAGGCTAAAACTAAAAAGTTACCACCTCTCAGTTTAAAAACTGAAGGTGGTTGTTAGATGCAGAAAACAGCAGATGCGACCAGAAGTGCATTAGAACAGAATTAACACCGGTGAGGTTTTTATTACTAAGAAGGAAGCATAAGTAGCAAGACGCATTACTCAAAAGTACTTGCAGTGTGGATTTTGCATACCTGGGAAGCCAGGACTCTGACAAATTGGTTTTTACTGGCAGGTCATGATCAAAGGGTTCATTCCAAAGCTGCCTGCCTGCAGTGCAAGACCAGTGCTCTTCAATCGTGGGAATACATACAGCAACAAGGAAGAATTTGGGTTTAAGCAGCAAAACAAGCTGACATATAAGCATAAGAAGGGTCCCTTTTTGTAAACAAGGATACAGAAAAGCCTACATAATCAAAACATCTAAGAAGCTTACAGACATTTGGAGTGCAATTCTTTCATTAATTCCAAAACAAAATGCTGCTATCTTTTAAGGCAAGATGAAATTAGGAGATAATATTTCAACACAATTAGCAGTGTTACTTGGTTAGTACCAGAAAAGAGCACTCTCACTTGGCAGGCAAGAGGTTAAGTGTACAGCTGTGAGGATCAAGGAATTTTCAAGTGCCAAGGGAAGAAAAGAACACAGAAGCTGAGGGGACAGATGTTGCCAAAGAGCTCTAAAGGGAAGAAAGAATTCAGACTAGGACTCTGCCCCACAAATGCCACAGTTGGACAAATCTAATTTTATTCAGGAACCATTAAGAAGAAAGAAATTGTTACAGATCAACACAAAACAGCTGTTCTAAAATGTTAAAATGATTTAAGCAAAAAATTACTTTTCCCTTTCCTCTTCTTCCCAACATCATTTATTTTATTTTTCTTATGTTCACAGCGCATAATAATAGGGAGAAGCTTATTGCCAGATTACAGTAGTAACACAGGGGTTAAGATTTAAAAAAGCATGCACTACAGTAGTGTTAAAGTGAGTTTTTTCTCCTCTTTCCACTGATCTTCATATAAAGCTTTATTTAAATGTTATCAACCTCAGCATTGGTTAATCACTTTCACAATTCTTTTACATTAAATCAGTCCCCCTTTCTCAACAAATGGTGCAAGGTGACGCCAATCCAAATGAAGCAATTATGTCAGAAATCAAGTCAAACCATTTTCATTTTTCATTTACTGTAATCTTTAAGTGTGAATAATCAAATCAACCTTCTCTTTCTAGGCAGAGCTGTAATTGCTAAATGCAAATTAAAGCATATTATATATGACATGTAATGCTTAATCTGAAGACAAATTTTTATTAAGGTTTAAGTCAAACTTTGTTAAATGAGTAAAAGATACCCACTGAATATATCTTAACATTACATACATGCCCTATGAGAAAAGATATTATGAAATATAACAAAAATACTTCAAGCACCATAGATAATCCAATTGCTAAAAAAACCCCAATAAACCACAAAGAGTAACAGTAATATCATGTTTGCAAGAATAAACAGAACATCTTCACAGATTCTATCTGTGATTCTATCAGTTTAAAAGGAGGTAGCAGATAATTCTAGGATCTCAAACAATTCTTTTTCAGTATAATGTACAATAATCCTTCACAAAGATAAAGCAGAACTACATTCATTATTGGAGCAAGCTGATACAATTTCAATTATTTTAATAATTGTTGGCAACAGCTGTGAAGCCCATTGCTATTACTGTCCCCTAAGCAAAGAGAGGCAAGGAAATCACCCCAGTAAGGAATCTAAAGGATGGGAGTTGATATTCTTACTCAATACCCCAATGTTTATTTTACTCTCTTAATTTTGTATCTATTGAATACCATATCAATGTTTGCTGATGTGATTAAACACAATTCTTTGTCCTACTATGTGTGTAACTGTGAACCTATTTTATTAACAAAATCTGGAACAGAACAACATTGCCTCAGAAATGCAAACAGGAAAAAGCAGGTTGCAGAACCTCTGAAAACCTGAAAATGTATTAAGAAAAAAAAATCCAAAGCAAATCTACAAAACATGACACAGGGTATTGCTTTTGTAGGGTTTGCTACCTACAGAAACATGATGTGGGATATTGTTTTAGTTCAAAAAGAAAAAAAAAAAGCATTTGGGGACATAGTAACAGAATCCATCTTCAGTGTTGAACAGTCAAAATGCAACATATTAAAGGATGTAAAATTATGAAGAGGTAATCAATTGCTTTTGGGATAGTATTTTTCCTATACATAATTCTTCCCAGAAAGCATGTGCCTCACTCCTAACAGACTTTATTGTTTATGTTACAAAACAGCTAATATATTCTGTATTAGTAATGAAACATTATTTTTTATATATATGTAACTAATTAAAAGACATCTATTCAGTATCCCGTGCTTTAAGTATACCATCAGTCCTCTTAAAAAAAATCTTACCTGAAATAACTACACTGTTGCATATTACAGGAAAAGATGTGTTCTATCAAAAAACACAATGTTTTCTACCCAATTCACATTACAAGCCATCCATTTACAACGTAAGAACACTTGTCAGGAAGCCTATGATATTCCCCACTGCACACTATTGTCTGACACATTCTATAAGGGGTCTAGCAGTTGTACTATGGCCAGCCAGCTGGCTGACAGAATACCAAACAAGATAGAGGAGGGGAGAGGTTAGAGATAGGGAGAGGCTCCCCTCTCAACAGGGAGAAAGTACTGTTTCAATGTCTAGTTTCAACAATCACAGAATAGGAAATCTAGCACCTTTGGGAACCTTATCTTATTTTCTAATCTGACAATTGGCCAATAGCTTCAGAAATTATTTTAGGAAGAGGAAGATGCATTTGACAAGTCAGCTGACAGATAGAGAGCAAGCCTCTGACCTCTACTTCACCATGTCTGAAAACCAGGATGAAACGTCCTTGTGGATAAAACTCATGTAATCCAAGTGTGAATTTGTTCTACTCAATTCTCATTTTTCGTTCAGTAAGAACAGTGTTTCTTCCAGGATGAACATATCCAAACCACCTGCACAATGAAGAATAAAGTAGAGATGCTAAAGGCAGATTTCAAGAAGCCTTTGCTGCTAGGAGACTTCTGGGTGTGAAAGCTTAACACAGACTTACCTATTCCACTGAGCAATACCTAGACTCTGTCTGGTACCTGAAATACCTTTTTAAACTTAATTAAAGGTACAACTTAAACCACCATGCAATTACTACACATCTCATTTGTTTTTCCCATTAATTGTCGAATACTATCTCTAATTGGCCATCACTAGTTGAAAATATTGTTACAAAGCAGAAAGAAGTCTATCACCTAATTCAATCCATGCTGCATTCTTATCATTACATACATTTCAAATTACCAATTTAATACCTCATCCCACTTGCACTCACCTGGCATAGGCAGCAGGGTATGAGGAAGAGGAAGAAGAGAAAGACAAAAATGGGAGAGAGAAACAAAAAGGTGCAGTACTGTAACAGACCTGTACTTCTCCATAACACGGCAACACAGCACTTCATAGTCTGGCTTTGAGTCCAACAGTAAACACACTTTTACTTCTGAAATCAGGAATTTTTAAATGCAGCTTCTCTTGTACTGTACATTTCTGACAGATACACATCTAACTGCCTTTACTTGTTTTTTTCCCCCATAAACAGTCATCTTTCAAAGCTAGTCATATTGAAAAATGTTTCAAAATTAATCAATGCTATGAAAGTCATGTGAAGTTCACTCACAGAAAGCAATCTAACAGCTCACCACAGCAGGCAATGTCACTGCAGAGCTGCTCCTCCTATTTCACTTTTAAGATGAGGAAAACATCCTCCCCCACCCAAGCAGTGCTCAGGAACCAAACCTTAAACCACGTTTTTCAATCATGAAAGAATTTTCAGAAGCTGTCAGTCATTGGAATGACACTTTACATGCACACTATGCTATTATTTGTTGTACATATAAAAGTATTTCTAATCCTCTGGAAAAGTTTTCCTATCATGACACAGTCTACCACAACTGCTATTTGTACTATTTCACAGATTGCCATTTTTTGCTTAAACATATCCAGACACCTCACGAAATCCCTGGCTTTACAAAGTTTTCTTTGAAGCTGCCTTAATTACAGGAAGATTTGGGGCTTTTTTAATTAAGAGTTAAGAGAAGCTAAAGACAAGATGATTAGTAGTCACAACATTAATCTTCTTGCTGTACCTAACAACTTCATTTACTGTTTAAGACACAAACCCTTGTGGAGTTGCTGTTCTATTGAGCTGACGTTGATGTACTTGCTAGGAAGTTACTTCTACCTCTTATGTTCTCCTCTGAGATGTAACAGATGGACTCTCAGGAAATTGAATCTGATAGGAAACACTCTCACTGACTTCACTGAGCTCCTACAGGGCTAAAACAGAAAAATAAGATTCACAAGTGACAAAAGAGCCCAACACATTTAATCTAAATACAGAGACTTCTTTGACAGTGGAAAAGAATTCCTGCATCAGCAATGAGATTTAGAAAATATACTGTCTGTTAATATTATCATTATCACTTAATAAAGGTTTATTTTAACAATTTCCAGGACAGCGTTTACATACACTGCTTTCATCACTGGAAAGGAATGGCAACACTCACACAATACACATTAAACAGTGGACTCCAATCCTTAATTTCCCAGCACAGTTGAACAGCTTCATGCTACATTAGTCTGGCAATGCTAAAAGAACCCAAAAATAGAGACATTTTTAACCTGGACTGTCTCAGCCTCCAAGGAAATGAGGCTTAGGCAGTCCCTCATCTGTTAACTTGTCACATTTAAATTCTAAAGTTGTTGGCAAATTTCAACTAAATTTGATAAAGAGTTTGGACACTCAAAGATAATTAAGTTCCTGGGGATTCTACAAAAACTACAGTCTCTACGAAAGAAACACCTACATAATGCTCATAGGTGAAGGCAAAAGAGTTTTGACACAATAATTGAAATAAAAACAGCCTGCATGTCTGTGCATTTAAGTATATATCATGTGCGTATGTATATTTGAGTATATAAACATTGTATACATTCAAAACTTTACTGGACAACCTGATCTAGACAGCCCTGCTTGAGGAAAGGGGTTGAACTAAATGATCTTTCCTGTCCAATCTACAAAATTTTTGGGTGGGGTGGTGAGGTCTTGTGTGCACGGCTTAGAGAAGCCACACCAAATGACATCAAACAGGGATGCTAGAAAAGAAACTCAAGAGTGAAGAGGAAGAAGACCTCTTTGGAAAGTGAAGGGCATAAATCCAAAGACAACTGAGCTTTAGCATTTATGGTATTGTGGCTGGAGAGCAGCCAGGCGGAAAGGGACCTGGGGGTGCTGATCGACAGGAGGCTGAACATGAGCCAGCAGTGTGCCCAGGTGGCCAAGAAGGCCAATGGCATCCTGGCCTGCATCAAGAACAGTGTGGCCAGCGGGAGCAGGGAAGTGATCCTTCCCCTGTACTCTGCATTGGTGAGACCACACCTTGAGTACTGTGTTCAGCTCTGGGCCCCTCAGTTCAGGAAGGATATTGAGGTGCTGGAGCGGGTCCAGAGAAGAGCAACGAGGCTGGTGAAGGGACTGGAGCACAAGTCCTATGAGGAGAGGCTGAGGGAGCTGGGGTTGTTCAGTCTGGAGAAGAGAAGGCTTAGAGGCGACCTCATCACTCTCTTCAACTACCTGAAGGGAGGTTATAGCCAGGTGGGGGTTGGTCTCTTCTCCCAGGCAACCAACAATAGGACAAGGGGACATGGGCTCAAGTTCTGCCAGGGGAGGCTTAGGTTAGATGTTAGGAAGAAATTCTTTACAGAGAGGGTTATCAGGCATTGGAACGGCCTACCCAGAGAGGTGGTGGATTCACCATCCCTAGAGGTTTTTAAAAAGAGATTGGACGTGGCCCTTAGTGCCATGATATAGTAATTGGAGTTGGATCAGGGGTTGGACTTGATGATCTTGGAGGTCTTTTCCAACCCAATCTATTCTATGATTCTATGATTCTATGAAAGATCCTTTTTCTTCAGTGACCCTCAGAACTTCACTGAAGACTTGTCATTTCACTGTTTATATGCTGTCAGACTAGTTCTAGAAATCATCTCTAGTGATATAAGCTACACAAATGTGATTACACTAATGTAAAACATACTTTTGATAGCAAAGACCATTCCTCTAACCTTTTACATTGATGTGAATGTACCCATAAGATGAACTATTCTGAAAAACAGTATTTCTGACTACACAGACAAACAGAACGTATTGTGAAAGACTTATCAAAGCTTTTGTAAAGTAGCATCATGATGGACAAACCTTAAAAGGAGGTTCCACACGAAAGAAAAGCAAATCCCATCAGGCACTACTAACAAAAAAAGCATCTTTCAGTGTTCTTCACAAAAACCTCTTAAAGACACAAGACTGCTACATTGTAAGAGTAACTAGGTGCTTGGATAGATAACTTTATGAAGGCCACAAAACCAAAGTAAAGACAAGGGCAGTAGTTACTCTGGAAACACATTGCCCAGCAGTATTTGTTGGAATCTGCTCAGATCTGCTGTACTGTACTCTGCTATCTATAGACAATCTAACTATCCAGCAGCAAGAGCAGAGAACATCATGCCCTGGTATAAATTCATGGAACAATCACATCTGTAATACTCTGGACACTTCTGATTCCTCTTATCACAAAAAGGATGTAAAGGGGAAAGTTACTGAGAAGGACAGCAAGCGCCTTGAAACACATGGAACAGATTAATCTGGGGAACCATTAAGACACCTGGACTCCTCAGTCCCGAAGATGAGGTAACTGAGATATGACAGTAATTTATAAGAGAATGAATAGCATGAAAATGCAGACAGAACAACAGTTCGGTGCACCTTCCAATTTAGTAACCAAGGAAATGAAGCTAATATGTGTCAAATTCATAGAGGGCACTCCTCGCTATTTTTTATTCTTGCTCAAGTACTTGCAACAGAGAAGTTTCATATGTTTACAAAACAACTGGATGTGGGTTTTTTGGACTGAAACTTCTCCAAGCTATTTAAAAAAAAAAAACAACAAAAAACCCCCAACACCCAACAAAAAAACCTCCAATCACAAGAGACTAGGAGAATATTCTGGGATCTTTGTCCAGCAACAACAAAAAGTCACTATCCTATTGCCAACACGAGACTTTAGACTAAGTCAGTGCAACCATTTGTATATTTTACTGGCATATTTCAAGTAGAAAGCATTGGGGTAATGACCATCTTCAGACACTTTGGCAATGCAAGATCCTCTAATTTTGTTCTAACCTTCAAAACTACATTCACCATATTCAGAATAAGATAAAAAAAGGTTTGTGCCCAACAAAGAAACAAAGAAAACTTGGCTTTCATATGTGACTAACTCAGAAGACAGACCTACTGGCGATTATTTATATCATCCCAGATTTCCATAAAAATCTGTATATTACACGTAAGTCTTTATAAAGAGTTCCTATTACATAACTGAGCTGTGTGATCAACTTCAGAAGCCATCAAAAAACTAACCTCAGCTCTTAATATGCAAAGCAACATTTTAACTATATTTCTTTGGCCTTAACTTCCAGCATATGTAGGGAAGAATCAAAGCAGTAATATATGTGCAGTGTCCCAAATTTGCACCTTTTTCTTAACATATGCAGCATAGACATAATACCAGGGAATGCAATATTTTAGAATCTTCATACATTTTACATTAACAAAGTAAGGCAGTTAAATGAAAGTCCAATAGAGTAAAGGTAGCTAGAGGCAAAGAGAAGAGGCGAGCAAGGGGCAGCAAGATATGATCGTATTATATATCCCAAATGACATGAAGCATTTTTTTTGTTTGCACTTAATCTTACTATACCCTCCTTCCCAAACTCTGAATTTCATTTATCACTGTATGCTGATAACCTGGCAACAGTGGCAACACTTTCATATATTTCTGTGCAAGAACAATAAAAACAAGATCCTTATTAAGGTTTCTTGAAGGGGGGGGGGGGGGATAAAACAAACCAGTAATTTATATTATTCTTATTTTTCATCAAACAGAAAGAGAACTCGTTCCACAGAAACGGAATAATCAAAGTTTCTCTTGGGGTAGGAGGGGGAATGTTATTAAAGTGGAGACAAAGTGGTTGCTTTGCAATCTACCATAATAGGTTAACCAAAGTTTAAACTGTGAAAAGTTAATATAATACATGTCTTACAAGATGAGAGAAAAACTGAAAAGAGTTCAGAATTATCTTTTGGGGAGATATAGATATTGCTATTTTAAATTAAGCTTTTCATCAAGAACAATTTCTGAATCAAAACAATTCTTTCAAGAACATGAACCAAAATCTGCCTACAGAGCAGAACAATATCTGTAACAGATATTATTCCCATATTTTTTTGAAGAGGTTAATAGTTTCTCTGCAATACAAAAACAAGAGGAATAGAATTTGAATAGTATCTCAGACTCCCTGCATGGCACCTAAGAGTAGAAGAACAAAATCGTCATTGCTATGAAGAAAAACATATTGAAAATATGCTAAAAAATTAAGCCATACAGTGAAGCTGTTGAAGAATATAGACTGTTCACTGTCCCAAGATCTGTAGGTTAACTGTTGAGTTCCATGGCAATAGCTGAGAAACTCCAGTAATTTTTACAGAATACCTTCAGAAATAAACCTCAAGAAAAATATACAGAAAGTAATTACCTTTAATATTGCAACGATGGCAACAACGAGTATTTCCTTTGACATTTAGGGAAGTTAGAATTTAACAAATTCCTGGGACAGATAAGAGTATTTTATTTTTAAGCAGTATTTGGTCTTCTCACAGCTATGCAATAGGGACTTCTGTATGTATTCTTAACATACTCAAGTCAGTGTTGTGTATGAGCATATCTACATAACCATTTAACTGTTCACAGACTGAGCACACTCCAATATTTGATTAGCAGGTAGAAGTTGTGTACTCAAATTACTATACACACAGATATACAAATATACGCAACTAGTCAAAAGACAGCTTTCGAGTGTCTTAATGATTTGCATATTAACGTGCATGGAGATCATGTTTGGCAAACGTCTTCATTTTTAGCTGCTGGATCTTTTACCATTTTTTTTTGTCACTCAGGACTACTACTCAGACAAGGCCTCGTAACACGTTAGGATGAGTTTTGATGGCACATAAACACTTCTGGATAGCAGCATATATACCCAGTCCCGGAGATTATATTTTTTTGCTTAGAAAATCAGTCCAAGAATACCTGTCACAGGACAGCTTGAACAGATTTAGAGCCTTCACATATTCTGAAGGCAGGCTAGGGAAACTTTGCTAAGTACTGAATTCCCAAGGGAGAATCAGGTACATCACACTCAACCATTCTTTTAGCTGCTGCCAGTGACACAGCAGGCATTGGACAGAGATGCAATTGCATCCACCATTCCCTATTAGCAGAGGCATCACCTTGCTCTTTGACTTGACAGAGAACAAACTTAACCTCTCCTCCGCAATGGCTGCTGTCTCTAGTTTCTAAGCAAGGATCATGACACATGACAGGTCCTGGGAATGATGGAACATACCAAGTGTTGAAGCTTACACTACCAGCCCATAAGGCCACAGAGGACACCTATGATGTCAAAACATGCCCTTTATCTTCACAGTTACTCAGATCCATACAGCAGTGTATGAATTATTTCTTCAAGGCTGGGATCAGCATCAGTACTAATGTTAAGATGCAAAAAGCCCTCCTGGTACAACGGAAAGGGGGATAAGAATTGACTGGAGCCACTTCAGCTGCCCCTTTAGGAGTCCCCAGCACCCAAAGAGTGATTGCCAGAGAACTTATAACACATGCAAGCACTGACGGCCACAGGCCAAAGTACACCATGAAACAGGGCTCATCTGCTGCGGTTTAGGCCTGTTCAAAGTCTTTAAGGGAAAAAAGCAGAAAGAGAGCCTCATAAGACTGCTAGCTAGCTGGCACACACCAAGTTTATGGGCTATTCACATTTCAAGCAGAGGCAAGTGTGTAGGTGGGTGGATGGACACTGCTGTGCCTATGCACAGAGTAGGTATGTATGTGTATAGGCTGGCACAAGGGATAGCGGTCAAGCGCAAAGAAAGAACAAACCTGCACACACTAACCCAGAGGTAACACAGGAATTTTTAGCAGACCCCTGAAAAATGGGCCAATGTAGTGAGTGTGTTCTGTTATTGTGATTTAGGTAACAGTTTAGAAAAGGTTGTCTTCCAGCATCAGTTTCATGCTAAGTACTTCACAAATTAAATTAATGTAATTTGTTTGAAAATAGTGCTGACACACATGATCACCTCCTTTAAAAATCAACTCTGTGTTAAATATATTCAATGTTAAAGATAATCTGTTATTCACATATATCAAGTTCTTCATAAAAAAACATGGAAATAACTGAGGGAAAGAGAATCTGTTTATCAGAATCATCATGGCTAGGCTTTGCGAACGAAGATTTGGGAGGGACTCTACCCACACTTGCTACAAGCACGCTGGTGGTTTAGAAAGGCCAATGCGAGACAGACAAGTCCGGTTGCATTACCAGAATAAGAAACCCTTAATAAAAATACACAACTGAGCTTTATGCAGTGCAACACAAGTAACAGATGTGGGTCACTGTGTCCTTCTCAACTTTGCAGTTTCAGCTTCAAAAGTGAGGTTTCAATATACAAAAATTAATTTGAGGACATTCCTGTATTGCCTCCTTTAACTCACTACACTTGCTAATTCAGGGGATACTGTTCGTCATGTAGAGCAGACCACATCATTATAGCAAGATAGAATCATGGAATCACTGAGGTTGGAAAAGACCTCCAACATCATCGAGTCCCGTAACTTCTTAAACACTTCCAGGGACAGTGACTTCACCACCTTCCTGAGCAGCTCATTCCAATGCTTAACCATACTTTCAGTGAAGAAATTCCTCCTGATGTTCAACCCAAACCTCCCCGGGCACAGTTTTTGTCCTGTCACTAGTTGTCTGGGAGAAGAGGTCAACCTCTCACCTGGATACAACTTCCTTTCAGGTAGACGTAGGGAGTGATAAGGTCACCCCTGAGCCTCCTCTTCTTTAGATTAAACATCCTCAGCTCCCTCAGCTGCTCCTCATATGACTCTAGTCATACTCTCTATAGTTTCTTCACCAGTTCTGTTGCCTTTCTCTGGATATGATGTTCAAACTGGCCAAGAACACTCCAAGAGATGCTTTAGAGCACTATGGTCCCTGTCAATAAAACCTGTGCATATAGATAGCAGCTACTCAACTGAGCCCATAATACTATTGCAGGTATTTGTCACAGCATTAGTCATATACAACAGCTAGTAATTTTAGTAAAATTCTCACAGTTATTTCTGTATTTAGCTTTAGTCCATGTGCGCTATATGACATTGCTTGTATTCTACAACCATTTGGTTATAATCTGTTTTAAACAACAGCGTGTAATAGACAACATGGTAAAGACCTACACATGGAATTTACTTAGATGGCCTAAAAGTGGAATGGTGAATAACAAATCAATAAGCTTTTGGACTAGATAATCTCAATCACAAGTCAGATCAACTTAACCCATCTAAAAAAAAGCACAAGACTTCCAGGACTCTTTCCACATCAATTAATGTATTGAATTTGAAGTCATTTTTATATGTGAAGATGTTATTGAGGTCATAAAACCAATTTAACTTGTGCTTGGAGATAAACTGTTGCTTACATCACGACCTCCTTTAAAAATAAAACCAACTTTAATTCTACCCACAGACCTACCAATTCTTCCTAACAATAGCAACAGCAGCACAGTAATTGTGTGAGAAGTCAGGGAAAAAAAGGAAGAGTGAAAGGAAAAGAGGTAGCATTTTACAAAGAACATCTATGTAGAAACTCTTCTTAGAAAGAAAAAAAAAAAAAATCAAAAAAACCCTGGTTTGCCTGACATCAGTTTTAAGTGACCTGATTCTCTTTGGAATACACGATCTTAAAAGGTAACTTATCATGTGCTCAGTTCTCCTTTTATCTAATAATACACACAAGCAACAGTCTTTCGAAACTTTTACAGAAACACTGTCAGGTACTTAGTTCCTACTGAAGACAAAGTATTGAACTACACAAAAGAAAATCAGCATGATAGAAGTTCTATAGGTCTTAACTTTTGGGGATAACAAAAAGGCAGGAATAAATAGTCACAGTAAAGAGGAAGTAACAAAAAAGGATGCTCACAAGCAAAGAGATCTTACCAAATACAAAAGGATACAATACATACTGGACAACAATCCAAATCAAGCATTAAAACAGTTCAGTGCATCCCAAATTTTGGTTGGGGAAGGGTTTTGCCTATTACCAGTAATATGTAATAACTAACAAATTTCATTAATAATTGACACGTGATAAAAAGCTTCTCACTGAAAAACATGTAAAGCCTCAGCATGGGTAACCTTACATACTTTAAAATGTTTCATTAATTGTGCTAATGACTGTATTCCTTTAAATAAGGATTTTGACAATACCATCTTAGCACACAAGGTCAAAAGACATGTTGCTCCTGACTTCAATCAACACGTGAATGAGTTAAATCTCAGAGAAAATGATGACAGAAGGGAAGGGAATACTACTGTTAAATTTAACGTGTCAATGAAGAAAATGAGCAGGTAACTATTACTGTTCTAGTCAACTTATCTTCACATTTAGGCCACAAGTTCCACCAAGATGTAGAACACCAAAGAGTACTGGAGGAGCCCACACAGGAGGACTCGGGACATTAGATGAACTGTTGTGTTGTTTTCTTTTCTTTACTAGTGGTATTAAAAGTGGTGGGTGTTTTTCTCCTGCACCCCAATGGAGTGTGCACGCATGGGATACCACTGGTCTCCAGGACTAAGCCATCTCCTACCTAAGTGCTAGTCCCTCAGTGAAACAAAGAGAAGAGGGTTGCATATTCAGCAATCCAGGACATTAAAGAGCTCAACAGAGGCAGCTTTCTTATGCTGCAGAAACAACCTTGAGTGGTACTCAACCATAGCTCAATAACTGTACAAGCTGATGGTAGAAGTTTCTCTTTGCAGCTTTTCTATGACATCTTATATAAGCAAATTATCTGGATTTTTCCAGTCTCTTTTGTTGTGTTTCAGACTTTGTCCCATATAACGAAGAAGTGACAGTAAGCTGCCTTGCTATTTCAGTCCCACTCATGAACAGCTGGTGTGGAAATACAGGTGGTGAATGCTATTACTCAGCTAGGGTGAAATTACATCTTATAATTCAAGTCACTGTCTTAAAAAAAAAAAAAAAAAAATCAATAGGTTGTTTCACTATCAACTAACGAATCACCGAATAAAACCCAGAAACCTAATTACTTCTCACTATTAAAATAATTTCAACTAGAACAGAAACCAGGATTTCTCCCTCTGACACGGTCTGCTTAAAAAGTATATCTGCAACAAGAGAAAGGTGAAGCCATGAAAACAGCAGGACTCCTAAGAAAACACACTGAACACATGTCAATTTCCTAGAGAAGAGCTTGTGAAAAAGAGGAGGTATCATTTGTCCTCACAATCACAATTTTAATTAAAGTACTCTCCAGCCCCAATTTATTGCAAAAAATAATAGTATAGTACAGTTTTGAAGTGTCACCATCTGTCACATGAAGCCAAAACCAGTTTTAAAGATAGTTTTAGTGCTTAATACAAAACCTAAGACAAGCCAAACCTTCACTGGAATAACCATGATGGTGCAAGGATATCATAGTAAGAATGATTAAATTAAATTTGCCTTCATGGTTGGGTTTCCATCTCAAAAGACTCAGGAGGCTACATAGTCCCACTCAGCCTTTTCAGTCATGAAATCTCAACTGACTGGTCAAGTATAGTTGTCACACAAAAACTGAGCTCCAGAACCAAATGCAAAGATGACACCCCAAGCCCAGGAATTAATGGCAACAAAATCCAGGTCCTTTAGGTACATCTAGCATCTCCAAAGTTTATAGAAGGCAACTCTTAGCAGTTAGTTCCTGCTATGCCTAAGCTCTAAATGACTGTCTCTTTTTGGTTGCTTCCCACAATGATGATGGCAGCAGGTTCAAGTCGGGACGCAGAAAGTCCAAGAACAATAACTAGAAGGACCATCTATTTGGATGTACATAAATTCTTTTTTTTTTTTTTTAGGTTTTTTTTTTCCCCCTCTAATCTCAATACCAAGTTACTCTATTTAAAATTTCAGATTCTTTCCATTTAATGTATAATTCAGAAAGTGGAGTCAGTGGTAGGAAATTAGATAACTTATATCTATTCCCACTGCTGCTTTCTCCTAACCTGTGTGTGTATGAATAAACATACGAAGTCAGTCAAAGGGAAACAGGAGCCCCCAAACATCCACTGCTTCAGAACTGCATTATCTTTGGTTGCACCTGACTTCACGGGAGAAGTGTGTCCCACCACAATTCCACGAAGAGCATTGTCATGTAACACAACATCGTGGTCTATTTACTGCTGTAGTGGCTCAGCCAGGCCAAATCTCAAATGTGGATGCTGGCAAGAGTTTAAGTTCTGTATTG